AGGCAAGGCATCAACCCCAATCTCCAAGCCGAGAATTTTATCCTCAGGACTGAGTACTGCGACCTGCATCCGGATGTTAGTGGGGCTGTCAAAGCCGTGTGTCGTGCTGTTAAAAGTGGAGGTCCTTCCCACTCAGACCCACAGAAGCCAACTCTGATGAGTGGGAGGGTGAGCAGGAGGGGCTTCGGTCATTTTTCATAGATTCTTCAGGTAACTGTAGCCACCATATTAAGCATTGGCTCCCATAAAAAAGCATTAAGGCCCAGAAACCTCTTGTAGGGTCACACCCTCCCTAAAAACAGCACATCCCTGAAGTGGTGGCTGGGCAGCCAGGCTCCAAAGCCTGCTGAGCTGAGCTGAGCGGCAGCCAAGAGCAAGGTTTGGTGTTTACACACTCAAAATCAGCCTGGGTTGTCACAGCAACTCACCCCAGCACAGTTCTTCCTTCTCCACGGCGGCTTCCTTCCAGGCTTTGCTGTTCTCTGTCACCGTCTTAATGTTCCTGGTAACCTGGCCTGCTGCATTCTTTTTATTTTTCTCCCAATTCCTCCACCTTCTTGTCATGTGTTTGCTAGTGTGCAATACTTCACCTGTTTGGAACTCAACAACGTCCCCTCCCACAAAACGCACCTGAAAGCAAGAAATAGCACACAAGACCTCTCAGTGGCCAGAACAGATGTTACCAGGCCTGTGCACTAAGTCCATAAGGAAAGCACCCAAGCCCCCTGCTTTTGTCTTAAAATCTTTTTTTTTACACCTTTAAAATAAGGTAATGGTTTTTAAGGCCTGCAGTAAATTGGGAGTAGGGAGAGGAACTATTGCCAAGCACCCCGGAAGTTCAAGAGGTGACTATTAATCCCAGAGTAGCAAGGAAAGGGACAGACAGGCTATAAGAAGTGGACACAAGAACTCAGAACTCAGGACAGTGTAGGCCTTATTAGAGTCAGGCAGATAATTTCACATACCTCAGAACGTCATAAAGCGATCATGACATTACTCTGGAATAGCTATGATCCAGACACCTAGAAAATGTTAAACTAGATTCAAGTTAAAGAGGCAGAGTAGTATGTGTAGTGTTTTTTAATTTCAAGCATTCCAAATGGTTAAGGGTTTTCATGCTTGTCTTTAATAAACTTAGACATCTAGAACTTATGAGTGCTCTAGATAATTATCTACTCTTTTATATTTTTATTTATACCCCATTACTTAAAAAGTAAAAATAAAGCAAAAGATTGAAGACATTGACTTTTAGTCTATATAGTACCTAGTTCCTGGCTCTAGTTCTTAGCAATATTTGCTGCTAACCTGGTGTTCTATCTCTGCCAAATTTCTGCCCGTATGAAATGTATGAGACTTGATCCTATTTTCTTGCTCATTCATCTGACTGAAAGGATCATAGACGTCTCCACCTCCCTTGAGCTAGTGATCCTATATCCCATCATCTCAGTCAGCTAGAAAATGAACCATCACATGCCACCTCCTCTCAGTTACATGCTCCATAAACAGAATACCTGGCATATAGCAGGCATTTACTAAACACTTGGTCAATGAATACATGAGCCGGTAATCCACAAGATATCGGTAGAATTAACTACAGTTGACCCTTGAACAGCACAGGACCTATGGGAGCCCACCGCTTGTACAGTCAAAAATCCTCATAAAATTTTATTTATTTATTTATTTTGAGACAGAAAAAAAAAATTGCCCAAGCTGGAGTGCAGTGGCATGATCTCAGCTCACTGCCACCTCTGCCTCCCAGGTTCAAGCAATTCTGCCTCAGCTTCCCAAGTAGCTGGGATTACAGGTGCCTGCCACCATGCCTGACTAATTTTTGTATTTTTACTAGAGACGGGGCTTCACCATGTTGGCCAGGCTTGTCTCAAACTCCTGACCTCAGGTGATCCACCCTCCTAAGCCTCCCAAAGTAGTACAGGTGTGAGCTGCTGCACCCGGCCCACACGTATAACGTTTTGTTTTTTTGTGTTTTTTTTGAGACAGAGTCTCGCTCTGTCACCAGGCTGGAGTGCAGTGACTCAGTCTCAGCTCACTGCAACCTCCGTCTCCCGGGGTCAAGTGATTCCCCTGCCTCAGCCTCTTGAGTAGCTGGGACTACAGATGCGCACCACCATGCCCAGCTAATTTTTTGTATTTTAGTAGAGACAGAATTTCACCGTGTTAGCCAGGATGGTCTCGATCTCCTGACATCGTGATCCGCCTGCTTCGGCCTCCCAAAGTGCTGGGATTACAGGCATGAGCCACCGCACCTGGCCACATAAAACTTTTGACTCTCCAAAAACTTAGCTACTAATAGAAGACTTACTAATAGCATAAACAAGTTAACGTGTATTTTGTATGTCATTTGTATTATATATGTATTTCTTACCATGAAGTAAACTGTAGAAAAGAAAATGTTATTAAGAAAATCATAAGCAAGAGAAAATATGTTTACTCTTCCCTCAGTGGAAGCGGATCAGCATAAAGGTCTTCCTCCTCATGGTCTTCAGGCTGAGCAGGCAAAGAGGAGGAGAAAGGAAGGGTTGCCATCTCAGCAGTGGCAGAGGCAGAAGGAAGTCTAAGGGGAGCCATGCTGTTCAAAATTGTGTTGATCAAGGGTCAGCTATACTTGCATGAAGCTATAAATTTAATTAAGAGCCTAGCCCATTATGGGAACAGCAATAAAAAAAAAAAAAAACACCAGTTTGGGAACAGCAATAAAAAAAAAACACCAGTTAGCCAGGCGTGGTGGCTCACGCATGTAATCCTAGCACTTTGGGAGGCCAAGGCAGGTGGATCACCTGAGGTCAGGTGTTTGAGACCAGGCTGGCCAACATGGTGAAACACCGTCTCTACTAAAAATACAAAACTTGCTGGGCATGGTGATGGGCACCTGTAATCCCAGCTACTTGGGAGGCTGAAGCAGGAGAATCGCTTGAACCCAGGGGCCGGAGGTTGCAGTGAGCCAAGATCGTGCCATTGCACTCCAGCCTGGGTAAAGACAGCTAAACTCCATCTCAAAAAAAAACACCAGTTGGTCCTGGCACCAAGAAGATCAAATGGTGGATATGCTGTTATATGGGAAAAGTAGGACACACATCAGTACAGTTTGTTTGTTTTGAGACAGTCTCGCTCTGTCGCCCAGGCTGGAGTGCGGTGGCGCCATCTCAGCTCACTGCAAGCTCCACCTCCCGGGTTCACGCCATTCTTCTGCCTCAGCCTCCCAAGTAGCTGGGACTATAGGTGCCCACCACCACGCCCGGCTAATGGTTTTTGGGGTTTTTTTTTTTGTTTTTTGTGTGTGTGCTTTTTGTGTGTGTGTATTTTTAGTAGAGATGGGGTTTCACCGTGTTAGCCAGGATGGTCTCGATCTCCTGACCTCGTGATCCATTCCTCTCGCCCTCCCATAGTGCTGGGATTACAGGCATGAGCCACCACGCCCAGACTTTTTTTTCTTTAATGTATGGGGGAATAATTACTAGAAGGACAGAAACCAACATATAATATGATTGTGCATTTACTTATTTAACAAATAATTGAGCAATTTATTTCTGTATGATACTATTCTAAGCATTTTAGAGTTAACCAAACTCACAGTAAACTGTATTGCCAATGATAAAACTGCACTTACATAATTTTAAAGCAAGAATCGCAGCAATTCATCAGGCACAGTGGCTCATGCCTGTAATCCCAACACTTTGGGAGACCAAGGCAGGAGGATTCCTTGAGCCCAGGAGTTCAAGGCCAGCCTGGGCAACATAGTGAGACCTCATGTCCACAAAAATTACAAAATAGCCAGGCATGGTGGCAAGCACCTCTGGTCCCAGCTACTCAGGAGGCTGAAGTTAGAGAATCACTTGAGCCCGGGAAGTCAAGGCTGCAGTGAGCTATGATCATGCCACTGCACTCCAGCCTGGGTGACAGAGCAAGACCCTGTCTCAAAATAAATAAAAATAAAAGCAAAAATTGCAGAAAGTATAAACCATGACCAACTCAAGAGAATAATCAATGAAAGAATAGGCAGAATGTCTTTCCAAAAAGCAGTTGGGAGATTCCCATCCTCCACATACGCACTAGTGCAGTGGGAATGTTGCCCGGCGTGGCAGCCAGACCTCTAGATAGAACACTGAAGGTGAGTCTGCAGTAAAGCCACGGAATATGCTAATTTTAGTTTAGGAATACCAAATGGTATTGACCGCTTTTAATTCAATAAGCAACCCTTGGCCGTGTATAGTCAGTTCATGACCCATCAAGAGATCCTCTGTGGTTCAGTCATGGCCTTTGGACTATACTCTAAATCGTGGCTTTAGAAGACATTTTTCCAGTATACTTAAATGAATTTTATAACTTGATTGATGCCCAGATTACAGACTGTGAGGAGTATCTCCACATATCTTGTAACTGCTATATGCAGTCAGCAATTCCAGTATTTAGCCTGATAATTAATTTATATTTGTCCTCATAATCTGATAATACTGTGCTAGCAAGATAGATCACAAAGTGTAAATGAGTGTTTCTGGAGCATAGATGGGTACCCTCAAATCTCTGTATCTTGTTTTTTAATAGAGACGGGGTTTCGCTATGTTGCTCAGGCTGGTGTCGAACTCTTTGGCTCAAGCAATCCCCTTGCCTCAGCCTCCCAGAGTGCTGGGATTACAAGTGGGAGCCACCATGCCTAGCTTCCTTGTATCATTTTTTTTAATTCAAGTAAGAGAAAATGTCTGGCAATAGTTCATAAGCTATAATGAAACCTAGTCTTAGGACCCAGCTTTATATTGCCTCAATCAAATATTAATATCTTCAGTTCAAAATTTCCATTTACAAAAAAACTTTTGGTTCTTGGGATACTGTTATTGCCTTCTCTGTTGCCATCCATATAATGTATGTTTTGTTGTTTTTTTTTTTCTCTCTCTCCCTCTGGGCTGCGTTTCATGCCAGATAAACTTCCAAACCAAATTGGGATGGCACCAGGCACAAATAACACTCTTATCTTTTTCTCCATCTAGGTTACCCCTTTGCTTTGTTTTATCGGCATTACCTTTTCTACAAGGAGAGCTACCTCATCCACCTCTACCATACCTTTACAGGCCTCTCAATTGCTTATTTTAACTTCGGTGAGTAAACTAAGTTAGTAGTGACACTGCAGTTAGAGGGAACCTGGAAGGAACAGACTTGGATGGAATTTCCTTGAGAGAATCTAATAGGTAGGGAAGTTATAATGCTCCTGCTTGCAAAGAGGGTTGTATGGACAGGAACACAGCTTAACTTTTCCTTTTTGTCTTTTGTGTACATTCCTCTGTCAGATAAAAACATTTTGAGGGTGGTTACCCTTGCCAGACCCCATCAACAAAGAATCCTCAGTTTCTCTCTGCTGTGGATGTAACTGAATGAGCCAGGCAATCTCCACTTAGATTCATTCTTCACTTCAGACATTCAAAAATACAGTAACAAGCTGGGCGTGGTGGCACTTGCCCAGGAATTCAAGGCTGCAATGAGCTATGATTGAGCTACTGCACTCAAGCCTGGACAACAGAGCAAGTCTCATCTCTAAAAAAACAAACAAAAAAAGAAAAGAAATACAATAACACCCTAATAATCCTTTTTATTTATACAACTAATTTCCATCCTCTCCTCCAAAACATGAGGTTATTCTGAAAAAAAGATCCTGATGCCAACATTTTTTCTTTATATATTATGTTGTGATTGGAAGTCTCAGGACAGGTGGGAGTGTAAAAACCAGGCTATGTTCTCTCTTCTTGCATCCAGGAAACCAGCTCTACCACTCCCTGCTATGTATTGTGCTTCAGTTCCTCATCCTTCGACTAATGGGCCGTACGATCACTGCCGTCCTCACTACCTTTTGCTTCCAGATGGTAAACGTCTTTCCCTTAGCAACTGAGGCTACAGCTGACACCAGTTCAGGGGACAGGGGTAGGCAGGAGACTGTGGTATAGAAATTAGCAGACCTAATTTCTAACCCCTCTCGCAGCACTTAGCAGTATGACTTCAGGTAGGTGGCTTATCACAGGTGTTCCATCCACAGAGTGTAATGGTAACTCTTTGCTTGCCTCAAGGAAGGGCTACCAGCTAACCCTTTGCATACTGTACCATTAGGCTCTTTGGTTTAGCCCACTATCCAGGAGGAGAGTCACTTCAAGGCAAGATAGAAAAGCAACTTAGAATGAGTCAAAGAACCTAAGCCTAGGCCAGGCACAGTGGCTCACACCTGTAATTCCAGCACCTTGGGAGACCAAGGCAGGCAGATTACTTGAGCCCAGAAGTTTAAGACTAACCCGGGCAACATGGTGAAACCCCATCTCTACAAAAAAAATATAAAAATTAGCCCTCCAGGCCGGGCGTGGTGGCTCAAGCCTGTAATCCCAGCACTTTGGGAGGCCGAGACGGGCGGATCACGAGGTCAGGAGATCGAGACCATCCTGGCTAACACGGTGAAACCCCGTCTCTACTAAAAATACAAAAAACTAGCCGGGTGAGGTGGCGGGCGCCTGTAGTCCCAGCTACTCGGGAGGCTGAGGCAGGAGAATGGCGTAAACCCGGGAGGCGGAGCTTGCAGTGAGCTGAGATCCGGCCACTGCACTCCAGCCTGGGCAACAGAGTGAGACTCCGTCTCAAAAAAAAAAAAAAAAAAAATTAGCCCTCCAGCCTGGGCAACATGGTGAAACAAAAATAATTAAAACTTAGCCGGGTGAGGTGGCATGCACCTGTGGCCCCAGCATCTAAATTCTCATCTCAGTTTAGCCCTCATTTTGCTGAGAAGCCTTGAGCAACACTCTTCCCGTTATAGGTTTTCAGCACCTCCATTGGTAGGAATTTATTAAGGCTTTTAATGATGGGATGAGGAGAAAGGAAAAAGGAAAGAGAACATTGAATTTCAGAGCAGGGAGAAGAAATAGTAGTGATGCTGGAATACATCCTTCTGCCTCTCCTAGGCTTACCTTCTGGCTGGATATTATTACACAGCCACCGGCAACTATGATATCAAGTGGACAATGCCACATTGTGTTCTGACTTTGAAGCTGATTGGTGAGTGATGGTCACTGCCTGCCTTCCTTACATGTAGGTACCTCCCCCATCTCGCTAAAAACTTCCTCGGCACCCCTCCGCCATACACTCCTGGCTGCACTCAGTCTACAGGCCACATCCTCAGTGTCCTCTCCCATCACCCTACCCACCCGTTCTCTCTCTGCTCAGGTTTGGCTGTTGACTACTTTGACGGAGGGAAAGATCAGGTAAGTACCCGTTCATCAGCAGAGAGGTTCAAGACTTAATGAAAGGGAAGAAAAAGGTTGTTAACAAAGACTGAACCCAAATTCCAGAGCAGAGCCTCTCCCTCATTCCCCAGCCTGTGCAATCTCCCTTTCAGATAGCACCGAGCAAGGATCAACAAACCTAATTTGCCCAGGATCCAGCTCTTGCACAAAGTCCAGAGATCAATGCCAGCAAGGCATTTGCTACAGCAGCAACAGCCAGCTATGCACACACATACGCATTTCCACAAGAAGCAACTATTTGTCATCCCCCAAAGAGAAGGCTATTTGAAGAACCCCAGTCAGTGGGGCACATGGGTGGGGAACACTCAAACTGGCTCTTGTGGGGAGATTCAAGGCTATCCTGAACCATGCATTCTCTTCTTGGCATAGAATTCCTTGTCCTCTGAGCAACAGAAATATGCCATACGGGGTGTTCCTTCCCTGCTGGAAGTTGCTGGTTTCTCCTACTTCTATGGGGCCTTCTTGGTAGGGCCCCAATTCTCAATGAATCACTACATGAAGCTGGTGCAGGGAGAGCTGACTGACATACCAGGAAAGATACCAAACAGGTAATCGCCCCTCTTGGTCCAGATGTTCATGTAGGTATTGCACTCACTCTGAAGTGACTCTTCTGAAAGCTGCATTCTCCAGCATGACCCTGGCGTAGAGACCTGTGTCATGCAGGCCCTGGACTGTTGTAATGGATACTCTGTGCCAGGAGTGGGCCCTTTTTAGTTTAGGGTTCTTCCAGCTATCCATTCTGACACTGGTACAAACATAAAAATCCACATTTATGCCACAGGATTTTGTCTGAACCAGTCACATTTCTGCCTTTAAAGCCTATTTTCACATATATATGAAATATATTTATGATTGATAGGTAGGTAGGTAGGTAGGTAGGTAGGTAGGTAGAGGCTGGGCACAGTGGTTTCACCTCTGTAATCCCAGCACTTTGAGAGGCTGAGGTGGGAGGATCGCTTGAGCCCAGGAGTTCTAGACCAGCCTGGCAACATAGACTCTGTCTCTACAAAAAAATACAAAAATTAGCAGGCATAGTGGCATGTGTCTGTAGTCTCAGCTACGTAGGAGGCCGAAGTGGGAGGATTGCTTGAGCCCAGGGGAGGTGGGTCAAGGCTGCAGTGAGCTTTGATCACACCACTGCACTCCATTCTGGGCGACATAGCCAAATCCTGTCTCAAAAATACTTATTTATCAGTAGGCAATGTAGGAGGGCACAGTGGCTCATGCCTGTAATCCCAACGCTCTGGGAGGCCATAACAGGAGGATCACTGGAGGCCAGGAGTTCAAGCCCAGCCTGGGCAACATAGTGAGACCCCATCTCTACCAAAAAAAAATTATCCAGGCAAGGTGGTACATGCCTATAGTCCTAGCTACTCAGGTGGCCAAGACAGGAGGATCACTTGAGCCCAAGAGTTCAAAGCCACAGTGAGCAATGACTATGCCTCTGTACTCTAGCCTGAGTGGCAGAGCAAGACCCTGTCTCTAGAAAATAAAAATTAAAAAGGTAAAAAAAAAAAAAGTTTTATTGCCAAAAGAATTCCTTCACTGAGAACTTGTTCATCCTGTGTTTCAGCATCAATTCAACCAAGAAATTAAGGAGCAGATTCAAAGTGGTTATTTTTATTGTCTTACCTCCACTGGGTTTTCAGTCCCAATGGAGACTGTGAAACCTGGCAAGACCTTGAGATCAGTAGCATCCCTGAGGGGTAAACACAAGACTGGTCCACTGTCTGCTGCCCTGACCTTCCCACAACTCTTAGAGGTTTGCAGTCCCCATTCCTCATAGCCAGCCATAGAAATCTTTCCCTGAAACAGGAAACACTGGGTAGCAGAGCTTCTCATCCCATTCCAGGTAGACAACCACACCCCTAAAAACTCCTCTCCATAACTGAAGGTCAGAGGGTGAAGGGAATAGTCTGTGCTCTCTATGACCAGGAACTTCACTCGTTCCTTTCCAGCACCATTCCTGCTCTCAAGCGCCTGAGTCTGGGCCTTTTCTACCTAGTGGGCTACACACTGCTCAGCCCCCACATCACAGAAGACTATCTCCTCACTGAAGACTATGACGTGAGTGTCTACTAAAGCAGCAGCAGCATGACCGCACCAGAGCTAGAAAATGGACAGGCAAGGATCCCTATAGATAGTAGAGAAGTAGGAAATATCACCTACAAATGCTCTAGATCTGTGAGTTGGTGTCAGTGCCAGCCAGGCCGGGACACATTCACTGGCCACCACTGAACGACCTTCGTGGGCACAGGGCTGTGCCAGCTGCACATTTAGCACCCCTTGCCTTCTCTAGGAGCCACTCCTAGCTTGCCTTATCACATCCACGTGACCCCTCAGAGCACAGCAGCTTCTGATTCTCCAGCCTATTTTCTTCTCTTGACTGATACATTTGGGCGCTTCTAGGGAATTCAGAAACCAAGGGAAGCGGGAAGTGCTGGCTTTTGCTCCTGCCCAACTGAAAAACTTGAAAACAGTTCAGTAATTCTGGGCAGGTTTCTCTCCTTAAATTTAAATCCAATATGGGCCCCTCCATACTTAACATTCCAAATGCTCATTCCAAACACTTTGCCAACGAAGGCAAACAGGAGTTAAACACAATGCTGCCCTTGGGGCTCTCCAAGGGAAAGGTGAATGAATATTCTCCAGGCCCTCTGCTTCTTCCTCTCTGCCTGTGGTGAAGGCAATCAGGCCAGACTATTGGGGACATCTGGCAGCAGGCCTTAGGCAGGTATGAAGTAGCCAGCCACAAGTGTGAAAAGGAAGAGTGCTAAGAGAAACTGCCTAGTCATGCCATATCCCTAATGCACTGTGCTTTCTTCTCTCAAGAACCACCCCTTCTGGTTCCGCTGCATGTACATGCTGATCTGGGGCAAGTTTGTCCTGTACAAATACGTCACCTGTTGGCTGGTCACAGTAAGTAGAAAAGTTGAAACCGGGTCCTATTTAGACGAGCCATGGAGGCCAGTGTGGGGGGTGGCAAGAGCCCTAACTGAGCTATTCCCTCTCAGGAAGGAGTATGCATTTTGACGGGCCTGGGCTTCAATGGCTTTGAAGAAAAGGGCAAGGCAAAGTGGGATGCCTGTGCCAACATGAAGGTGTGGCTCTTTGAAACAAACCCCCGCTTCACTGGCACCATTGCCTCATTCAACATCAACACCAACGCCTGGGTGGCCCGGTGAGCTGCTGGTGGGGAGCCTGGACCCTGGTTCCTTCCTTCCACTGTCTTCCCAGATTGGAGGGCAGGGGTGTACCATGTTCACCCTTATGCGTCTTTCCCACCTGGGCAGAACCCCCTGTCACTCACACAGACTTTGATCCCCACCTATACCCCCCCAAAAAAACCATTCCTGTCATTTGAAAAAAAGGCAAGATACAAAAGTGCGTTGAGACCTGGGTGTTACTCCAGCTCTGCCAATGGACTTATGTCCTCCACTGCCCTGTTTATAAACTTGACTTGTTTGTCCCCACCACTAGAGTGTGGGCAGCTTGAGTGTCTGGTTCACCACTGATCTCGGCATCAGCACTCAGTCACTGCTGCTGAACCAAGTGACTCGTGCGCACACGGTCTCCAGCTCCGCCTTGGGTCTGCTTTCCATCTCTAAAATTAATCAGTCAGCACTGCCTCCTGTACCCTCTGGGGGCTACTCGTGGGAGCCCACCAGCACTCCACTCCAATCCTCAGGGTGAGGACCCAGAGGCAGGTGGCGGGATGCAAGGACCAGTCAGTTTGAGGGTCGCCCCACCCACCCTTTTCTCCAGCTACTTCTTCAAACGACTCAAGTTCCTTGGAAATAAAGAACTCTCTCAGGGTCTCTCGTTGCTATTCCTGGCCCTCTGGCATGGCCTGCACTCAGGATACCTGGTCTGCTTCCAGATGGAATTCCTCATTGTTATTGTGGAAAGACAGGTAGGCCTCCAGGGTGGGGGTGAAGGGGGATATGAGGGACAAGATGCTGATGAGCTCCTCCTCCCTCCCCAGGCTGCCAGGCTCATTCAACAGAGCCCCACCCTGAGCAACCTGGCCGCCATTACTGCCCTCCAGCCCTTCTACTATTTGGTGCAACAGACCATCCACTGGCTCTTCATGGGTTACTCCATGACTGCCTTCTGCCTCTTCACGTGGGATAAATGGCTTAAGGCAAGTGAAGGCCTGCTTATGAGACTGGGAGGGACTCACTGCAACCTCGGGCAGCGAGGGATACTCCATGCCTGTCTACCTCAGTGGCCTCTCTCTCCACAGGTGTATAAATCCGTCTATTTCCTTGGCCACGTCTTCTTCTTGAGCCTACTATTCATATTGCCTTATGTTCACAAAGCAATGGTGCCAAGGAAAGAGAAGTTAAAGAAGATGGAATGATCCATCTCCCTGGTAAGTGAATACAGCTAAGCTAAAACCACCACCAGGTTACAGAATAGAGCAACAGACTGGGGAAAAAAAATAGTATTAGAAATCTGGGGTGAATTCCAAGGATTAGCCTGGCTACTAAGGGACACAGTATGGGCAATGACTGCTGTGACTTACTGAGGCATGCTAGGAAACATCTGGAAGGGCTACAGACCAGGAAGTAGGGGAGTAACTAACCAGCCTTCCAATCACATGTCTTGTCTTGCAGGTGGCCTATGCAGGACTGGTGCAGAAACTACTTATCTCCCTTTTCATAGCACTCCTTTGCCCCAGAGCACAGAGAATGGAAAAGCCAGGGAGGTGGAAGATCGATGCTTCCAGTTGTGCCTCTGCTGCCAGCCAAGTCTTCATTTGGGACCAAAGGGGAAGCTTTTTTTTTGAAGAAGGAGTCTTGCTCTGTCACCCACGCTGGAATGCAGTGGCGCGATCTCAGCTCACCGCAACCTCCACCTCCCGGGTTCAAGTGATTTTCCTGCCTCAGCCTCCCAAGTAGCTGGGAATACAGGTGTGCCACCACGCCCAGCTAATTTTTGTATTTTCAGTAGAAACGGGGTTTCACCACGTTGGCCAGGCTGGTCTCGAACTCCTGACCTCAAGTGATTCGCCTGCCTCCGCCTCCCAAAGTGCTGGGATTACAGGCGTGAGCCACCATGCCTGGCCCAAAGGGGAAACTCTTGTGGGAGGAGCAGAGGAGTCCACATCTCCCCTCTGGCTCCCCCATGCACATTGCCTTATCTCTCCCCATCTAGCCAGGAATCTATTGTGTTTTTCTTCTGCCAAGTTACTATGATTGTGTATGTGCCGCTACCACCACCCCCCCCATGGGGGGGCGGAGAGGGGTGCGAGGCCCTGCCTGCTCCACTTTTTCTACCTTGGAACTGTATTAGATAAAATCACTTCTGTTTGTTCAGTTTTTCACCACCAGCATTCCTGACGGCTGTCTTTCACAGTTCTTCTCCACCCTTGCCGTGGCTGATTATCAGGGTTCTCTCCTTAGGGGCACAGGAATCTAGGAGCTAAAGCCTGCCTTCAAAGCATGGAACCAAACTGTAAACTCTGTAACCTCGTATCTGTCCCTGAAGTCCCAGGGGAACAAACAGTTTTACACCATTAGATACTTTAGGAACCCCAAAACAACCAGGTTTGCAAGAACAGTATTCATAGGATAAACAAATAGCAAATGTACAGCCTTGGCTTCCCCAAACTCCACAGTCTCAGTGCAGAAAGATCATCTTCCAGCAGTCGGCTCAGACCAGGGTCAAAGGATGCGACCTCAACAGTTTCTGGTTTCAGAACAGGTTCTACTACTGTCAAATGACCCCCCATACTTCCTCAAAGGCTGTGGTAAGTTTTGCACAGGTGAGGGCAGCAGAAAGGGGATAGTTGCTGATGGACACCATCTTCTCTGTATATTCCACACTGACCTAAGAAGAGAACAGTTTTGTCAGCCAACTCTCACTCAGTAGCTGTTTCAACCCTTCTTTAGGTCAGGAAAACTATAGCTGAGCTAGTATTTCAGCTGTGCTGTTTAATATCAAATTCCTACAAAGGATGAAGAAGGTCCTAACTGTGACTATTACAAATATGGCAGCAGTCCTCAAAGGATGTGCACTGGGGCAGGGTGTGAAACTGTCATGTGTCTTTAGCTCATTGTAAGCATTGTTAAAATGCCTACTGCTCTGGGAATTCTATACTAAGTTCAGCTCTACCAAGAACCTCAGGGTTGAGCCCAGACCTTACCTTGCCATGGGCAAAGGCCCCTACCACAAAAACAATAGGATCACTGCTGGGCACCAGCTCACGCACATCACTGACAACCGGGATGGAAAAAGAAGTGCCAACTTTCATACATCCAACTGGAAAGTGATCTGATACTGGATTCTTAATTACCTAAAGTGAAAAAGAGAAAAGTCAGCCCCAGAAACATTCCCAGAACCAACCTTCAACTAGTAGGTTTCAATACCTCACCTTCAAGAGCTTCTGGGGGCCATCAGCTGCTCGAACACTGAGCTTGTGTAAAAGTTGAACTAGAAGGGGGAAAAAGAGTTCAGAGGTAAATGGAGACCATCGTCCTTCTCTGTCCAGTCATTATCTAACAAGGAAAACCCCATAGGTAAGATGAGTTCCCTGTGTGCTCTATATCCAGACTGGACTCCTGAAATGTTAGGAACGAACAGTTGCCAAGCATATGGCTAGCTGTACAGTGATAGGTTCAGACTCCCTCTTTCACTCAGCCAGGAAGCTACTGCAAGAACAGGAGAGTGGAGTTTCCACAAACAGAAAAATAATAGGAATCCTTGTCCTGGTATTAATCATGTTGTTCTCCCATCTCCTCGCTTAAAAATCCGACATTTAGTTCTCCCTTTTCCTCTTCCTCCCTTCTTCCCTACAGACAAGTTCATTCTGAACTTTGTTCTAAGGCTTCTTACCCATGAGGCCACAAAAGCGGTCAAAGGTTCTGGGAATTCGGGTCTGGGGATTCACTTCAATCAGAACATTCTTCTGTGTATGGATATAAACCTGTAGCAAGCCAGCTCGGTTCAGGGGACTATCCATCAGCATCAGCAAACTCTGAGCAAAGCAGAAACCACGGCATGGTTAAGGCTGAAGAGAGGCAGCACTCAGCTGCCAACCCTTCCAAACAGAGGCTCAAAGGGTTGTGAGCACTGTCCCTGGAGTTACCTGGTGGGCGATGTCTGGCCGCACTTCCCCAGGGTCCCGTCCATTCTTCAACAATATAGACTTGTGCTTGTCACAGTTGAGTAGCTCGTATGTCTTCCCTACCTGAAGAACAGGGAACATGACCAAAGAACAGCATTACCTAGCCCACCACCACCAGCAGCTGCATCTGGAAACCTGTTAGGCAAATTCTCAGACCCACCCTAGACCTACTAAACCAAAAACACAGGAGGTGGAGCCCAGCAAGCCCTTCAGGAGATTACTGTGCAGCCATATTTGCACTCCCCAGTAAATGGTCTTGGAAACAGGAGAAAGGGCACAACCTGTGACTTCACATTACCTACCAATACACTGGATTTAATTTTAAAACCTGTGGCTGTTAGGCAAGGCCAATGAGACATCCTGGAACTAGGCAGGAGTTAGTAGTTAGTGAGCAAGGCTGAATGCTTTGTTTATCACAGGAGCAGTATGTATGTACTATGCAAAACATACCATCACTACCATCAGTTTGCGTACACCAAACATGCACTAAGTGAAGAGCTGCAAATCTGAACAAGAAGAAATGTGAAAATTCTAATGATGCAGGAGGCAGCTGAATCAAAGAAAACGCAGAAGTAAAATGAAGAGGGGTTATTCCCAGTTTTAAGACTGGCATGGGGACAGGTGCAGTGGCTCAAGCCTGTAATCTCAGCACTCTAGGAGGCCAAGGAAGGCAAATCACTTAAGGTCAGGAGTTCAAGACCAGCCTGGGCAACATGGCAAAACCTCATCTCTACTAAAAATACAAAAACTAGCTGGGTGTGGTGGCATATGCCTGTAGTCTTAGCTACTTGGGAGGCTAAGGTGGGAGGATGGCTTGAGCCTGGGAGATGGAGGTTGCAGTGAGCCAAGATTGCACCACTTTACTCCAGCCTGGGTGACAGAGCAAGACCCTGTCTCAAAAAAAGAAAAAAAAAGATTGGCATGAGCAGAGGTACAGTTAGAATCAAGAAAAAGTAGCTAGGTGTGGTGGCTCATGCCTGTGATCCCAACAAGTTAGGAGGCCAAGGCGGGAGGATCACTTGAGCCCAGGAATTTGAGACCGGCCTGGGCAACACGGTGGGGCCCTGTCTCACCAAAAAAAAAAAAAAAAAAAAACAGGTGCAGTGGCATTTGCTGGCAGTCCCTGCTACTCAGGAGGATGAGGTGGGAGGACTGCTTGAGCCAGGGAGGTAGAGGCTGCAGTGAGCCATCACACCACTGCACTCTGTTGCCTGGGCAACAGAGCGAGACCCTGTCTCAAAAAAGAAACAAAAAAGTGGAAACGAAGAAAGGAAATTTTGAGGAAAATTGGGAGCTGGGACACTGAAGGGCAGTGATTATATATGAAGCTGCTTTGTAAACCACAAAATCCTAATGTATCGAGCACAAAGCCAAAAATCTGGAGTAAGAAGGGCAGGATGGGAATGACTGACAGACACTATCCTAACAACTCTGTGTACACTGAAAAAGACATCAGAAGTTTGATGATAAAGAAGTGGACTACATCTGTAGCAGCTAAAAGAAATAATTCCAAGTTGCAATTTGGAGTCCCAAGGAGCATTAGGGTGGTCAGTAAAAAGCCTAAAAACAAACTGTTATATACAAATACAGGTTTTGGAAGGCTAAGTTTTTTGTTTTGTTTTGTTTTGTTTTTTTTGAGACTGAGTCTGGCTCTGTCGCCCAGGCTGGAGTGCAGTGGCCGGATCTCAGCTCACTGCATGCTCCGCCTCCCGGGTTTACGCCATTCTCCGGCCTCAGCCTCCGGAGTAGCTGGGACCACAGGCCCCCGCCACCTCGCCTGGCTAGTTTTTTTGTGTTTTTTAGTAGAGACGGGGTTTCACCGTGTTAGCCAGGATGGTCTCGATCTCCTGACCTCGTGATCCGCCCGTCTCAGCCTCCCAAAGTGCTGGGATTACAGGCTTGAGCCACCGCGCCCGGCTGGAAGGCTAAGTTTTTATGTATCACTAGAATGTTTGTATATGTCTAGCAACATTCTTGAGATACATGGCTCCAAAAAGTCTGCGAAAAAAGGGATACAGATTTTGAAATTGAATAGTTGAAGTAGCAATGTCACAGAGTAAGCACAAAGAAAGAACAAATGACGAAGAACTAAGTCCATGAGACATCCTTAGTTATAGAAGAAAAAACCTTCTTGAATGAATAATAGTTTCAACCCATTAGTAGGATATAACCATGTTTTCTATTCCTTTAATAGATTACAGGTGCAGGCCAGTAATCCCAGCTACTCTGGAGGCTGAGGCAGGAGAATCGATTGAACCCGGGAGGCGGAGGCTGCAGTAAGCCAAGATCATGCCACTACACTCCAGCCTGGGAGAGACTGAGGCTCTGTTTCGCGCACACACACACACACATGCACACACAAAGTGTATTTAGAACGAAGACTAAAATCCTGGTCTGACTTCTAAACCCATGCAATTTCTCCTGGGCCTACTCATTGAATTATTTCTAAAGGGTAAGAGAAAGGAGGAAGAACATTGCCCAAGGCTTTAAGATAGAGAATTGCTGGTTCTGTTTATTACATGTGGAGAAAGACATGAATGATAGATAAAAATGCAGACGTAAAAGTGTTAAACAATAACCTGGTCTGGACAGTGTTTCCAGGTGGATATTAGAGAGAGGTGACTATGGACACTAATGAATTGAAACATGAAGCCCTTACAAAAAGGGAGGGCAGACTAGGCTACATAACTACCTTTCTCATCCGCCCAGTAACTTGTCTTGGGATGTGGAATGATGCAACAAACGAAACTTTCCTCTCCTTAGACTACTGTATCACAGAATCCTGGTAAACCAGTTGGAAGCAAAGAGGTGAGGGCTGGAATGGCATTCAAGAAGAGCAAAAGAAAATGAGTACTACCGGCCGGGCACGGTGCCTCACGCCTGTAATCCCAGCACTTTGGGAGGCCGAGGCGGGCGGATCACTTGAGGTCAGGAGTTCGAGACCAGCCTGGCCAACATAGTGAAACCCCATCTCTACTAAAAAAACCCAAAAAATTAGCCGGGCATGGTGGCGCGTGCCTGTAGTCCCAACGACTCCAGAGGCTGATTCAGGAGAATTGTTTGAACCCGGGAGGCAGAGGTTGCAGTGAGTCGAGATCGCGCCACTGCACTCCAGCCTGGGCGCCAGAGCGAAACGCCATCTCAAAAAAAAAAAAAGAAAAAGAAAAATGAGCACTACCATCCCAGGATGTCAGATCAACGCACAGCCAACCAACCCATCTTCCTTCAAAAGCATCTTTCACCCCTCTCTGCTTTCTCCATCCACTCTGAGCCCCTCACCCTCATTCCACGGATCCCAGTCTATTGATTTACTACTTATCCACTTCCTGTCCCAAACTACCTTGACTGTCTCCAGACTGGCCCCTTCCAGCACCACAATAAGCCTACGGCCTCCGATCTTGTTTCCTGCCCCTAGTCGGGGCCGCTTGGGTGGCACAGCATCCCAGTCCTGTGCCTGCTCCCCACCGCTTCGTTCACGAGGCTTGAATCCACCACTGGGCGCGGCCATCTTGCAACCAGACCGGAAGTTGCGCTAACGCTCTTAAATGAGAACAGTGAGGCTTCTAATCACAAATTTCCTTCCGGCTGCCATTTTGAAAGTGGGCTTGTAAATGGCGATGACTTGCCGTCTTGCGCTGCCCTCCCTGGGAGGGCAGCCCTCCAGAAAGGGGCGGGACTTCCGTATGCGCTCTTCCTGTGCGCGAAGTTCGGGTCGGTAGTGGGCTAAGGGGGAGGGTTTCCAAGGGAGCGCACTTCCGGTGCCCTTTCTTTCGCCAGCATTACGGGCCCGAACCCTCGTGTGAAGGGTGCAGTACCTAAGCTGCAGCGGGGTAGAGGCGGGCCGGCACCCCCTTCTGACCTCCGGTGCCGCCGGCCTCAAGATCAGACATGGCCCAGAACTTGAAGGACTTGGCGGGACGGCTGCCCGCCGGGCCCCGGGGCATGGGCACGGCGCTGAAGCTGTTGCTGGGGGCCGGCGCCGTGGCGTACGGTGTCCGCGAATCCGTGTTCACTGGTGAGCAACCTTCGCCTGCTCGCCGGACGCTTCCAGTCCCTCCCCCAAACCCCTTGCCCTATCTCACCGGTCCCCGCGCCCCACCACGAGCCTAGCTAGCATTTACTCTGAGCAGCGGCCTGGCCTGATCACCACCCCTCTCCCCACAGTGGAAGGCGGGCACAGAGCCATCTTCTTCAATCGGATCGGTGGAGTGCAGCAGGACACTATCCTGGCCGAGGGCCTTCACTTCAGGTAATGGCGGGCAGAGCTTACTGACCCTGACCTTTCACCCTTGACGCCGACCCAGCAATGGCTGTAGTGGGACGTGCAACAGGATTCAACGCTGCTCTTTTCCCTCCCTCCTCATCCCTGCTCCTAGGATAGTGGGTGCTGCGCGAACCTCCAGCAGCATATGAACTGTTGTTTTCGAAAGGGACAAGAGAATCTCTCCTTGTCGGTGGTCATGGGGAGGAGCAGGCCAAAAAACGCCTGGTGAGGGGAAACCGGGCAAAGCTAGTGAAACTGCGGCTTTTTTTGGGGAGGGGGGCGCGGGAGTTTTGCTGTGTCGCCCAGGCTGGAGTGCAGTGGCGCGATCTCGGCTCACTGCATCCTCCGCCTCCTGGGTTCAAGCGATTCTCCTGCCTCAGCCTCACGATTAGCTGGGATTACAGGCGCCCGCCACCACGCCCGACTAATTTTTGTATTTTAGTAGAGACGGGGTTTCACTATATAGGTCAAGCTGGTCTCGAACTTCTGACCTCAGATGATTCGGCCGCCCAAAGTGCTGGGATTCCAAGCGTGAGCCACCGCTCCTGGCCGAAACTGCGGCCTCTTAATACCTATCCCTGTCCCCTCCAGGATCCCCTGGTTCCAGTACCCCATTATCTATGACATTCGGGCCAGACCTCGAAAAATCTCCTCCCCTACAGGCTCCAAAGGTAGGTCTGAGCACTTGGTAATCACATGGCAGGTGGGAAGATCAAGGGAGCTGGCAAGAAACCCCAGGTGAAGATGGTAGTGTCAGGCCTTTAGGCCTTAGTTTCCATGTCTGCAAGAACTGTAACAAAAATACCTGCCTCCCGGGGTCAAAGCAGCACATTCTGAACACCCTGTGTTTGCGTGCTTTCTACTGTCTCATCCCTGACATATTCAATAAGAGTATTGTTTGTCCTTGTCTTATTCACTGCCTAGATCAAAGCCTTGTTTTAAAGCCTTTTTTTCTAATTGCTTGACTTACTATTATCTACAGTTACATCCACTAGTATACTCTGTTCTGGAGAAGTTTGTCCCTACCCTTGACTAGTTCACCTATTCTCTCCTTCTAGACCACACATAAAAGCCATGCCTTTGAGTTCCCCAGACCTCTTCCTCCTCCCCACCCACCCCCCCCCCCGACACACACACACACACGCATACACCCTGGGTGAGGTAGGTCACCTGTAACCTGTAATGTACTTCTTTGTACTATACCTAGTGCAGGTGGCTTATTCATGTATTAGACTGCTGGGCCCTGGAATACAAGATTCATTAAGCACATTTTTGTCCCCCAAGTCCTTACAGGAGACGTGATTACGGTACAGCGTGAAAGCACCCACATTAGAGGTTGCATGGAGTACAGAGGGGGAAAGAGCAGTCAGCCCTGCTGGTGACGGGGTTGCAGTTCCAGGCTTCACAGTGGGTGAGGGTGCATTTCACCTGTGCTGCCTCATGTGTTCCTTGTCAGCCTGATTAACTCTCCTCCCCCCAGGGCAGTGCCAGGCTGTACATCATTGCACAGGGCATATAGGGAGGAACATGAAGGAGAAAATGCTTGGGAAAGGGTGTTTGGCCTTGACCAGCCACTGCTGACCTCAATCTCAGACCTACAGATGGTGAACATCTCCCTGCGAGTGCTGTCTCGACCCAATGCTCAGGAGCTTCCTAGCATGTACCAGCGCCTAGGGCTGGACTACGAGGAACGAGTGTTGCCGTCCATTGTCAACGAGGTGCTCAAGAGTGTGGTGGCCAAGTTCAATGCCTCACAGCTGATCACCCAGCGGGCCCAGGTCTGACTCCCACCACCATCTGCATGGTGTCAGCCTTTCCCTTCTAGGCCCAGAGTACTGGGAATTAGGAAAGGCAGCTTAATAGAAGAGGATTGTCACCCTAGTGCCATTTCCACCTAAAAGCTGTGCTAATTGCCACTGTGAGATAAGGAGAGCCAGCATTAGAACTCGGTAGCACTTGGTATTAGGAAGCACAGAGGAAAATGGCCAAGTCTTGGCTTTTCCTGCACCTCTTTCAGCAGAGAGGCTTATGTTATAGGTTTGCCTGACAGGAAGCTAAGGCAGCGCATATTGTATTGAGAGAGTGAAGGATTCGGGGTCGCAACCCAGTCCCCTCAAACCACCCTTCCCCACCCCTGCCCTCAGGTATCCCTGTTGATCCGCCGGGAGCTGACAGAGAGGGCCAAGGACTTCAGCCTCATCCTGGATGACGTGGCCATCACAGAGCTGAGCTTTAGCCGAGAGTACACAGCTGCTGTAGAAGCCAAACAAGTGGGTGAGTCGCACGAGCAGTGGGGTGAGGGCTTCCGAGATGCAGGAGGAGGAAAGACTCGGTGGACGGGGCTCCTGACCCAGCACACGGTCTCCCTGACTCTCTCCCGCTACAGCCCAACAGGAGGCCCAGCGGGCCCAATTCTTGGTAGAAAAAGCGAAGCAGGAACAGCGGCAGAAGATTGTGCAGGCCGAGGGTGAGGCCGAGGCTGCCAAGATGATATCCTTCTGCGTGAGAGGTCTCGGCCCAGTCCCTAGGGCACCTGAGTTCCCCATCCTCCTTCACGGGCAGGCTGATGAGACTAAGGCGAATGCGACTCCGTGCTCTCTGGCCCTTGGCTCCTTGTTGCGGGTGGGGGCTACAGATGAGATCTGAAATCTTAGCGGGGGTACCTGAGCCCTGACTCCCCACTGTAAGGCCAGATCAATAGCACTGCTGGCCTTGCCTTCATTTCTGCTGCTGCCCCTAGTTCCTGGCAGCAGCCTGCAGGGAGGCCCACAGGTGGGGTCCAAGGTAGAGCGGGCACAAGCCACCTGAGCGCAACCTTGGATCTGACAGCCCAGAGGAGGACTGTAGCAAGGGAGTGTGGTAAGGACGGGGCTAGGGATTGAGACCTGCCCTTGTGTGAACCTTAACCCTCCTCACCTGGGAGAAGCACTGAGCAAGAACCCTGGCTACATCAAACTTCGCAAGATCCGAGCAGCCCAGAATATCTCCAAGACGGTGAGTGTGTCAGCCCAGCGTCTCTGATGGGGCTGCCTTGAGAAAGTGCTTTCAGTTAAGGCACATTGAGGTGAGGGAATTCGAACCTTGCTTGTTTGGGTTTCTACTCAGAGTGGTTTTATGGCCGGCGCAGTGGATCACCTGAGGTCAGGAGTTCAAGACCCACCTGGCCAACATGGTGAAACCCCACCTCTACTAAAAATACAAAAGAAAATTAGCCTGCTGTGATGGCGTTTAGCTATATTCCCAGCTACTCAGGAGGCTGAGGCAGGAGAATCACTTGAACCCAGGAGGCAGAGGTTGCAGTGAACTGAGATCACGCCACTGCACTCCTACCTGGGCAACAGAGCAAGATTCCGTCTCAAAAATAAATAGCCGGGCGTGGTGGCTCACGCCTGTAATCCTAGCACTTTGGGAGGCCGAGGTGGGCGGATCACAAGGTCAGGAGTTCAAGACCAGCCTGGCCAAGATGGTGAAACCCCATCTCTACTAAAAAAATACAAAAAAAATTAGCTAGGCGTGGTAGCGGGCACCTGTACTCCCAGCTACTCAGGAGGCCGAGGCAGAGAATTGCTTGAACCTGGGAGGTAGAGGTTGCAGTGAGCCGTGATAGCACCTCTACACTCCAGCCTGGGCAACAGAGCGAGACTCTGTCTCAAAAAAATAAGTAAATAGGCCAGGTGCAGTGGCTCACGCCTATAATCCCAGCACTTTGGGAGGCTGAGGTGGGCGGATCACAAGGTCAGGAGATCGAGACCATCCTGGCTAACACGGTGAAACCCCGTCTCTACTAAAAAAATACAAAAAATTAGCCGGGCGTGGTGGTGGGCGCCTGTAGTCCCAGCTACTTGGGAGGCTGAGGCAGGAGAATGGCGTGAACCCGGGAGGCAGAGCTTGCAGTGAGCCGAGATCGCACCACTGCACTCCAGCCTGGGTGACAGAGCGAGACTCCATCTCAAAAAAAAAAAAAACTAAGTAAATAAAAAACGGCCGGGCGCGGTGACTCAAGCCTGTAATCCCAGCACTTTGGGAGGCCGAGACGGGCGGATCACGAGGTCAGGAGATCGAGACCATCCTGGCTAACACGGTGAAACCCCGTCTCTAATAAAAAATACAAAAAAAACCTAGCCGGGCGAGGTGGCGGGTGCCTGTAGTCCCAGCTACTCGGGAGGCTGAGGCAGGAGAATGGCGGGAACCCAGGGGGCGGAGCTTGCAGTGACCCGAGATCTGGCCATTGCACTCCAGCCTGGGTGACACAGCAAGACTCCGTCTCAAAAAAATAATAATAATAATAATAAATAAATAAATAATTGGCTTCTCCAGTACTTTTCCCCTCATCAAGAATGATTCCTCTGGATTCCCTGACCTTTTGTTCTTGCCTCTGTTACTTTGCTAATAGTCATAGCTGCTGCTCGGTGCTCTAGATCCCTAAATGAGAGTAGAAACCATGTCTTATTCATTGCTGTATCCCTGCACTAATCTGCATGTGTTCCATTAAGTGGCTACTGAATTGCAGGGGTGGAATTGAGGTCTTTGTATTTCCTGCCCTGTAGATCGCCACATCACAGAATCGCATTTATCTCACGGCTGACAACCTCGTGCTGAACCTACAGGATGAAAGTTTCACCAGGTGAGAGATGGGACCACACAGTGGGGTCTCACAAAGAACGTGGGACTTGGGTCTGGGTGCTTGGGCTCTGGAGCCTGCTACAGCTGTTCATATGGCTCTGAGAGACATTGAACCAAAATTAGAAAAGGGGGTGGTTGACAGTTTCTATCTTGTGTCTCATAGGATTGATTTTATGAGATCAAATAGGATTATTCACATAAAAAGCACTTTAATTATAAAGTTTTCATCCAACCAAAAAGTGATGAAAGATGATACTGAGTGTTCTTACTCAAGAGCCCTCAAACTCCTTTGGTGCGGGGAGGGATGTTAGGAAAGGAGATGAGAAATAGCAGTGGCCATGAGAACACGCCACCTCCTTTCATGAATCAGAGATTCCTGGCTGTCAACCCTGTTTGTCTTTTCTCTTGGGAGCAAAGGAGGGTTCAAAACTGAGTGGGGCCTGAAGCTGTCAGCTAACATGTGCATTTCTCTTCTCTGCTTCCTGTTCATCTGGCGATCTGGCACCACAGAGGAAGGTAAGTTGTTGCTACTTCTGTGGGGTCCTGCAGGCCACCTTCTCCTAGTACCTGCCTCCTACCCTACTCCCTTTCCCACCTCCCCGCAGACAAACCCTCAATCGGGGTAGGAGGGTCGTAGAGGGAATGGCCTGGAGTGTCCTGCCTCTCACATTTATGTCCCCTAATAATGTCATCATCTATCTTTTTTTCCTACAGTGACAGCCTCATCAAGGGTAAGAAATGAGCCTAGTCACCAAGAACTCCACCCCCAGAGGAAGTGGATCTGCTTCTCCAGTTTTTGAGGAGCCAGCCAGGGGTCCAGCACAGCCTACCCCGCCCCAGTATCATGCGATGGTCCCCACACCGATCCCCTGAACCCCTCTTGGATTAAGGAAGACTGAAGACCAGCCCCTTTTCTGGGGAATTACTTTCCTCCTCCCTGTGTTAACTGGGGCTGTTGGGACATTGTGTGATTTCTCAGTGATTTCCTACAGTGTTGTTCCCTCCCTCAAGGCTGGGAGGAGACAACCACCAACCCAGGAACTCTCAATAAATTTTTATTACTTAACCTGAAGTCAAGGCTTCACGCTTCACGTGTTCACGTGGATAACGGGCAGCACGCATGCGCACGTTCACATATGCGCTCCTGAGTCTGTCTTTGTGTCTGCCAGCAGGGGGCGCAAACAAATCTGGCTGCGGCAGCTACGGGGAAGCTGGGCCTGGGCTCCAAAACAGGACCCAAACTGGGAAGGCTGGCCCTGAGTTCTGGAGGCCCAGCTGTGCTCTTCACCCCACCCTCCATTTCTCCCACACCACCTGTTTTTTTAAGGCTGGACAGCCATGGCTTTGCTGAGCCAGATTTAAAATCTGATGACCCCAACAGAGCTGCTTCCTTGGTTGCAGGGTTCCTTGTGACTGTGGGGAGCCTGCCTGTGCCTGTTGAGGCACTTCTGTGCCCAGAAGCCCGGTGGATTGCGTGGCCTGCTATAGGCCACCCACACTCCATTTCTCAGTCACCAGGCGTGAGGAGCTGCTCGCTAACAGGGCCCCCCCGTGGAGGTGGGCTTTCCCACAGCTCTGGGGCCAACGGAACAGGTGCCTGTCTGTTCAGTCCAAAGATAAGCTGACACTTATCTTCCCAAGACAGGCCTTCCTGAATCTCAGGCACCAGAGAAACAAAGCCACTGTTTATACCTGAATCTCCCACAACTGCCCATTTCCCATCCCTGCGGGGAGACAAGGAAGATGTAGAACTCAGACAAAACATGGGGGCAAAGTATGTACAGGAACTGCCAAATGCAGATAGGGCAGCAGGTGGATCTGAACAGAGGGACTGGGTTAATCAGCTTCGATTTTTAAGATGTTTTTCTCTGCTTAGGGTTGAGTATCGAAGGACAAAGCAGACGTCGCAGCCCCAATCCTGAGTTGCTGGGAGGCTGAGATCAACAATTAGACAAAAGACAGGTCAAGTGACCTGGGTCAGTCTTCCTCATGTTCCCATTCACACTTTATTTCATGTTCCCAAAGCGGGAAGACAATGGAGGTGCCTAGGGAACCAGTGTTTCCAAATCTTGCTGCAGCCGTAAAGGCAGCCATTTTGTCTTCTTCCCATTGTTCCCCTTTGCCTAGTGATTCGTCCCCTCATCCAGAGGGGTGAAGGTCAGAGGTTGTTGGTCAGTAGTCCTCCATGGTCTTCAGGGTTCCCTGAAGGTCACTGCCGAAAAACCGACCCGGGGGCCATCTTTACCAGACAGTGTTAGGAGCTTCACAATTAGACCATCCAACACTGTACTGGAAGATGGACCCAGGGCCGGCCAAAAGAGAACTACGGTGCATGCTCACCAGTTGCTACAGGGACCCTGGCCACAGGCCAGGTCAGGTCTCTTGAGAGGGGGCGAGCCAACCCCAAGCTCAAGGTCGACTGTGGGTTCTAGATCCACCAGGTGACAAATCGCACTGGGTGGGAGGAGGGGCTGGGGGCCATTGTGTCCCTTAGTGGCAGCCAGTCAACAAGAGCCACCCCTTGTACAGCACTCTCAGCTCAAGACAAGGGGCTTCCGGGGAGCGTGGGAAGTGGGGAGGGGGCTGCAGCCAGCTAAGAGCTGGGGACCTGAGGCGATGGATGTTGCTGACACAGGGACGGGGGCCTCCATCATTACCCGGCAGTATTAGAGACTCCCAACCGCACCCAAACACTGCTGGGTAAGACGAGGGCCCCCACCCAGCCCGCCCACCTTGGGTCAGGCAGCTTCAGGCCCAGGCTCCCTGCGGAAAAGCTGCAGATCCCTGGCTCCCATCCCCCCACCACCCGAGTCCCTGGGGACACTTCCTGGTGAGCCTTGCTACCCGCCACCAGCCACACCCTGGGTCGCTGATTGCTAGGCCCAGGTTGCGGTCCAAGCAGCCTTCCGAAGCCCCTCGCCCGTCGGCCCCCTGCCTCTGAGCCACCTTCCCCCACCCCCGCAGCCTGTCCCGACCCGCAATACACACCGATTTACCCACCCTCGTCCCCACTCTGCAGTCCCTAGCTCAGCCCAGGACCTCTCCCCTGGTGGCCTTTACCTGTCAGCGGGCCCGCCTGCCCCCAGAGAGTGGGTGCCGGGGAGACGAAGGGGCTTTAAGGCCCCAGATTTCACGGCCTAGAGCCCGCCCTGGCCTCCGCTCTTCCTCCTTCCTTCTCCGCCTGCCGGGCAGCGCAGGCTCCTTACCTGGGCCCCGCCTGCCACCCTGCGCACAGGTGTGTCCTCCTGCCATAGGCTGCCCCTCACCGCCTTAACCCCTTCCCTCCCAGCGCCAGCCATGGGCACCTCCTCTAAGGCTTGGCCACTCCTCTGGGCCTCCCACCCTCTCCCAGGGGCCTCTTTCCTCCAACCTGCCCAGTCTCACCCCTCTCTCCAGAGGAACAAAAAGAGGGGGGCTGTTCTCAGGTCCCCTCCCCACAGCAGCTGCTGCCCCCAGGACTAGCCCATTTTTCTGTGGCCTCAGACCCTGCCCACAGCAGAGCTGGAAGGCCAGAGAGATCCCTGAGGTCAGCGAGGGGTCAGCTGGGCAGGAGTTGGGCTGTGCCGCCACGCGGTGCCCAGCCTGTGCTGGGATCCCCTGAGGGAAAGAGGAGGGAGAAGGCCCCGCCAGGCCTGTGAAGGGCAGGTGGGTCCCAGCAAGGTGCCCCTAGTGTGGAGTTACCCACCGCTACCCAGAGACCCCAGCTGGCCCGGAGCATCAGCCCTGCCCCTCGACTGAGGCCTGCAGAGGGAATGATCGCGCTCCACTCTCGGACCGAGCTGCTCCTGGACCCACCTCACAGCACAGCCCTCAATGGAGTCCAAGTCCCACCCCAAGGGCAGGTAGCCCAAGGGCGGTTAGAGGAGGTGGGACTTGCCTTTGTGCAGCTCCGGCTGGGATAGAAAGGGCGTTGCTGGGAGCGGGGACCTGAGCCCGACAGGTGATTGCCCCACCCGCGCCCTGGAGGGCCGTAGCCCCAGGGAGCTATTGTGTTGCTCAATCCCTAGCTGTTCTCTCTCTCGGTCTTTGTTTGCTTCCTTCTTAATACCCGCCAGCAATTATTTGATGCTTGTGATCGGGTTGTGAATCTCTCTCCCTGACCAGCCTAAATTCCAATTCGGGGGACTGCGAATGCCTGTGGTGCCGGGGCCTCTATAAGAAGGACTTGCTGAATAATGCACGCCCAGCCTCTGGGCTTTGGAACCTGTGCCTTCTCAGCCTTTCCGGGAGTGGGCGCCAGCCCTTCCTGAGGGATGAGTCCCACCGGCTTTACTCCCCAGGAGACCAGTGTTTCAAATAAAGAAGAAACACCAATCCTGACATGGGGGAAGGAAGAGGGGACCAAAAAACAAAGCAATCTTCAAGCCAGCCAGCTCTTCAAACTCTGCCCAAAAGGATAAGGGCGGCAGCAGCCTGGATGAGGGGAGGAGCTGGGCGCACCTGGGTGCACTGAGGAGCCAGTCCCTGTTCCCGCCAGAGGGGACGCAGCAGGGCTGACCTCGGGTCTGCGCTTCCGGCTGTTAACTACTCTTCTTAGTTCAGATCTGGAAGTCGGCATCAGGGGAGTGTGATCAGGCCCCCCTGAGGGTGGCCCCAGCTGCAACTCCAGGGTAAGGAGTGTGGACTCTGGGGCCAGACGGCCTGGGTTCAAATCCCAGCTTCACTGTTCCATAACCCTGTGACCTTGGGCAAGTGACCAAGTTACTTAGTCTTTCTGTGCCTCAGTTTCCTCCACTGTAAAATGAGAATGATAAAAGTGCCTAGACTGAACTATCGTGTGTAGTCTTTTAGTGCCTGGGCACATGGCGAGCTTGTGGTGAGTCACTGTGCCCGTCTTATCGTCAGCCGTCATCTCGGTGCTTTTCATAAGCACCTTGTTATGATCGCCCTCCATTTTAAAGAAGGAGACTGGGGAGCTTCGCCCACGGTCACCCTCCCACGTGTGAGGCGGAGCCCCGACCCACGTCCGTCTGACAGAAGGCGGAGCTTTCACGCGAAGGCACGCACGGTTACCCATCCTGCCCTCCGGCCGCCCACTCACTGGGCAACCACTCACTGGGCAAGCAAAGCGCTCAGAGGCGACACACAGTGATCCTAGGGCTTTATTTACAAGAGGAGAAGGGTTGGCCCTGCCTGGGGCCTGGCTGGGCTATATACAGGGTCAGGGAGAGGTGGGGGGGATGCAGCCATTTAAATTACAATAGAATGGGACGCTCCTAGGTTCAGGTTGTGAGTCTGTCCACCGTGGAAGGCTTCCGCAGGTTCAGGGCTGAGGCTGCCAAGAGAAGCGAGTGAGGGAGTGAGAGGGTGGCTGGAACCTGGAGGGGGAACAAGAAGGTCTGGGGCATCTGGGAAGCACAGAGTGAGGCTACGGCCACCCCATCCACCCAGGGAAGGCAGTGGAGCCAAGGACACGGGGCAGGGCCGGGAGGACACCCAGGCAGAAGAGCTGTACCATGGCCACCTGAGGACAGCGCCGCTCACTTCCTCTTGAGGGAACCCTTGCTCTTCTCCTTGTCTGCTGACCGCTGCTTCTTCACTTTCTCCTCCCTCTTGTTCTTACTGTGCAGGTTCTCATACACATCCTCCTTGTGTCTGCAGCGGGGTGCAGGGGGGCAAGTACAGGCAGTGGGTGCAGGTCAGGAGACAGCGCGGGGGACTCGGCACTGGCAGCCCCCTCTGGCCACCCCATCTCACAGGCGACCCAGCCACTGTCCCCACACTAGACTCCAAGCTCCTAGAGGACAGAGGCTACATCTCATACAGGAGTGCACGGCTGGTACCTAGCAGAGGCCCACACGTGGTGGGCACTCGGGAAATGCTTATGAATAGAAAGGGTGAGACCCAAGCCTGAACTTGAAGCCAGGCCCCCCCAGCTGTGACACTTGTCCTCTCCAGAAAGTGAGGATCGGGTTGGGCAGGACAAAGGGGTGGATGCCGGGCAGTGGCAGTCAGGGCCACTCACTTGGACGAGGTGCGGGAGGCCTTGGCATGGGCGTTCTTCATGGCTGGGGGGTAGGTGATGTTCCCATACTCCGACTCCTGGCCCTTCTGCGACTATGGACAGAGGGA